AGGGGAAACCCCCCCCCCTCCAATAATAATAATAATAAATAAATAATAATTCACTCAGCAAATTGGTTGAGATACATTATAACAAACAATTATGATAGAGACTAGAAGAAATTCTTTGTCAACTCACGTAATTCTGAGACTGAAAACCCAATATAAAAATATATGAATTTTAACTTGAAAAAAGTCAGGCTGTGTGAATAATTTTTAAATCCAAATGTGTTTAAAATTTCAATAAATCTGATAGTGTTCCAAATTCTAATGACTTTACTTTTGCCAAACTAACTCTGATAGTTGCCGTCTTTACATGGCTAAAAAACATGACATAAATCTGTTATAAGGTAGATGAGAATATATAAACATTTGGTAGCTTGCATATTTACAAATATATGAGAGACTACTGATGACAGCCTAATGGCTGAAANCTACATTTCAAATTAAATCTGTGGAATCTAATTAAATTATTCTGTTCTCTATATACTGAGGTGACATAATACACTATTTTAGAGAAAACAGATATTCATTTTCACAATGGACTTACAGGCAAACAATACAAAATCTGAAGACAATCTGTAGTAGGAAAAGTTGAACGTTTGCACATCACAAAATTAAACACACTGAACCATATGGAAAGTTAAAACTCAGACAACCAAAGCTTCAATACAACACATGAAACACACCTGAGCAGGAGAAAACGATGCAGGCGCATCAGCCATGGATATCTCGACATGAGGCGTGAGGAAGTGCATTGGTGGAGTAGCATTGTCCACAGACCTTGCTCCCATTGAGTCACCACTGTCGCTGTATGTTGCTGCAACATTAAGATTGCAGCTCACCTCCAATGGTGAGCAATGGCTGCCTTGCAGTAACGATGATGCACTGGGTGCACTTGGTCCAGGGTTGTCCAAGTCAATTCCATGTCTGAATTGATAAGTAGTAAGTAATGTTAAGGGATGGTAAGAACTATGAAGTACTGTAACTCATTATACAGTCATTCAAGTGACACTGCAAAGAAATTATGCTCTACATATAAATTCTGTTACATTCTATTTGCAAAATTAAATTACATCTTCCCCCTTGCAGGGACCTGGTACAAAAATGTGAAGAACCATTTTTTATTTTATTCAGGATCATACAGAGCATGAAGAAGTATCAACATTGTTCCACCCAAAAGTAGGAATAAAACAGTTTATTTAGTCATATGATTTTCTAAGCATAAATATTAAGATAATATTAAAATGGAAGAAGATTCATACAAACAGCTGTACAACGTTTAATCAAAAGATGATATGTTGCTCAACATACAGATATTGTGATAAAATAAACAAAATAAAACGTTCAAGTTAAAGACTCATAACTCAAAGTTGAAGCAACACATGATAGTCTGAGTTGTCTCGAGTGTGCCAGTAAAAGGGTTAATTTGTGTTCTCTGAAGTGAGCCATCTTCTCTGAGGTACAACAATCAACAGTATTCATGTGTTCACACATCACGGATATAATACAGGATCAATGATATATTTTCTGAACGATTCTTACCTGTTGAAGAAATGCACTCGCAAACTCTTCATAGATCCAGCCCGATAGCTGCACAGTGGACAGGATTTTATCATGTCATTTTGTCCTACATGTTCATTCTGGAAATGAGCCCGCATGGCAATCTGACGCTGAAATCCACGGTTGCAGATGGGACAATGATACGGCAGAGTTTTTGTGTGTGTTGTGAAGTGTTCTGCTAGATGATCCTTGCGAAAGAATCTTTTCTGGCAGACTCTGCACTCATAAGGCTTAACACCTGTGTGACGCATTTTATGGCGCCGCATATTGGCGCCATTTGAGAATTTCATGTTACACACGTCACATTCAAATATTTTACGGTCATGACCTCGATGCACCTCTCCTGGTGCAGATGGTTCTCCCTCCCCGCCAGTGCATCGCGAAAGATGCGTAAGCAAGGCAGCACGAGACAAGGTCTCATAATTGTCGCATCGTTCACATCGATGGACTGGTATAGCACCATCACTGGAATCATAGTTTGTATTCAGAGCACCATCTGGACCCCCTGATGCTAAGGGACTGCCTTGTCCACCAGACTGATCAGCTTCATTGTCCTGATCACCATTCTCCTCATTACTGTGACCACCTTCATTCTGAGTGCCAGAGTCTGCCTCATTTTCATTTTCTGGTGTCCCGTCTGTTGAGCTTCTGTCTGGCTCTGCCATTCTCTGCCTCCTCACACTGCCCACTGCCTGTCAATTAAATTCAGACTGAGTATACATGTGAGTTTAATGGAACATTTGAGATGTGATAAGGAAATTTTATTTTAAGACACAAAAACATGACTAAAAAAGGCTATTACACACTGTATTCACTCATGTACTATCTTCTCTTTTCTACCGGTAAAGGATAATATACATGATATTCCATATGTACCATAAAAGTGTATCATAACTTGAGAATTAACACATGTTTATGAAAGCCAAAAAGAACAGAAACAGCATTTCTGTTTTTATCAAATTAAAAAAAGAATGTTTATTAGTGACATACATTTTGGACAATTCATGCTGTTGATGTTCCCATCATTCAAAATTCATATTTTAAAGTAAATCAAGGTGTTTTTGTGTGCAAAATATGTGAATATATAAAGTCAAAATTACAATCAAGACAAAGAAATGAAATCAGCTGCAGTTCCTCAAATATAGTTTGGAAAATCATGTACAGAAACAAAAATGAGCTAGGAACAATGCCGTCTCTTGGGATGTGGTGCCGTGTAGATCTTGTGTGCAGGCCGCCTGCTCACACTGGTTCCTTACTCACAGATTATTCTATCCTGAAGATGGAGGCGATACGTTCCTCCAAAACATTGGTTCACACAAGATCTACACAGCGCCACGTCCCAGAAGACAGCATTCTTCATGGTCACCGCCATGTACACCTCAAATCTTACAAAATGTGAGTTAATTCAGATCATGGAAAAATGTTAAAAAAAAAATATCTGGTGACAGTAATAAGTATATAGCAGGCAGAAACATTTCCCTCACTCTACTTCCAAAATATCAGGACATAGCTCACTATATAATTTGTCTGACGTAGCTAGAACCACAGCAGACTACTGGGTCTGCATACCCATGCACAGCTTACATAACCGGGGACGGAAATCTCTTGCTCTGTGACTTCAATAGTGTAAACATCAAATATCTACATGGTGTTAAAAAATATCAGTTCCTTTTAACTCATTTTGATTATGGCTAGTGTGGAGGGTAGTCAAAGTGTAGGGAAAGAAGGAACAATAAAGTATTACATGGCCAGAACAGACAAACTATCTCAAGCATGTACTTTTATATTACAAATTGCGTAAGTTTAACTGAATAGCAGGAGAATGTAATGACAAACTCACTTCCCATACATACTCCCATTATCATAATCTTTACCTCTCTGAAGCCGGTAGTGAAGTTCCAACTAGATCAAACAAGTTATAAAAACTGATAGTATTATATTCAGTACATTCCTACCAGACTGCACAGTGTCACAGCCTAGAAAAGAGTACTCCACATAGTCACTGCTGTGAGTATCTCATATCTAAAATAGATATATGTAAATTATTAATTTCTTAACATTTTTATTCCTATCAATATTTGGGTCACAGATTTAAATCTTCTTCAGTTTAGCTAGCATCATGGTCTCTCATGCCAGAACTTCGGTATCCATCAATATACCCCATCTATAAGGTGCGCATTCCACTCCATGAGTTGTGCCTGTTTCTATATGAGTAGGTGAGTCAGTGTGAATTTCAAAGGCAATTGGTTGGCCTGGATTGTTGATTCAAAGTATCAGAAAAATATTGTGGCATGTAGACCTGTTGCTAGGCAATGACCATGCAATAAGCCACTAGACAGCAGCCACTACTACATAACAGCTCCGCAAACAAGCATGCTTCCTTGGCAATGACTGTACTGCAACATAAGAACAGTGTTTTGTATGTGGTCCACGCTGAGAAGTTATAAGCAGGACAAGTCAGAGAGTTGGCTGGTGGGTCAGTTAGTTAGTCAGTCAGTCAGTCAGTCAGTCAGTCGGTCAGTGAAAGAGAGCAGTGGTTCTAAACTTCTGTCTGACCGTGGCCAGGTAAATTCTTTTTTATAAGGTGAGGGCCCTGTATAATTGATGCCAGGCCCCGGCAATTAAGAAACACTGAATTACAGAACTGCTGTGGTTTAGTTGTGAGCTGTTGCCGTAAGAAGCTGGTAGCTGAGGCCGCGGACCATTCGGGAACCCAGAGGAATGGGAACATCTGCCACTAGAAGCTACTACAAAGCAACAGCAGTGAAGACAGACTGAGAATACCTAGTGTGTCCTATAGTGATTTGCGAAGTGTAGTAATGAGATGTATAAGATTACCAATCCAAACCCCATCTATAGTCACTAATACATGTGACAATACCTATGGCTCAGGAAGATGAAGAACTCACTGCCCATATTTGTGTGTGTGCACGTGTGTGTAACAGGGAACAGGCTGTTCATTATTTTGTGCAGTGATTCCTTAATTAATCATGCACAGTAATCTCTAAGTTAACCAATATTCATGCATCTGGAATTTTCATGCAACCAGCAAAAAAATTTAAAGAAAATTTATGATCTTTATAGGATTACTTCAAATAAAAACTTGAAATGTGCATATGTTCACCCATCACACAGCCGCCACTGCCTGTCATACTCCCTCACACAGGTTTCATTAGTCATAATGATCCATGATTACAGTACAGGCTAGTTAAATTTCTGATCATGTTACAATATATCCAAAATTAATCACCTAAGAAGACTCCTACACAAGAACTAAAGCAAAAACAAATTGTTCTGACTTTGAAATGAAAAATGGATATAAGTGAGAGAGCAGAGAAGAGTGAAAAACTGATGAAAATTGAGTTTCTGTAAGATTCTTCTCACACAACAGGCAGATTCATGTAACTGTAACATCCCATTTCCCATGCATATCATACAATGAGAAGTTTACTCTGTGTAATTTTTTCCAATACAATTTTCACACATCAAACAGAATTCCTGGCATCATAAAAGTAGTAATCTGAATTACAATATGATTTTCAGATTTTCACTAATATCATTCATTATGAACAATATATGATCAGTACTTTTTTGGGCTTATTTTGGACTTCATCCATCGTTTGGTATGTAAAAGACAGAAGACCACAACGTTTTGGAGACTGCATCTGTCTCCAATCTCAGGTGGGTGGGGAAGGATAAACCTACTCAGTTGGGCCCATTAGAAAGAGCTAGTCTCAATCACTGGACCATATGATCAGTTACTATTTTTATAAAAAGAAAAACTGTCAACTCAAAACTCATTTGATTCTATGTAACAAACTGGTTACATAATTCCTTGTCATAAGGGATTTAAAATAAAGAAATGTTTTATTAACACTGCAAAATTGTGTTCCATTACAATTACTCATTCCCCACTTAAATTGTGGAATATGTCAGGTAAATCTAAAGGAAGAGAACAATACGATACAGCAGCATCAAAACACAAGCAATAAATCAAGGGCAGCCAAATGCAGTCAATATTGGAGCTGCATATGACAAGTTTCAGAAGTTTGGGAACTGTAAACAGACATGTATTGGATGGCAAAGGTGTTTAGGTCCAAGCTTACTATGCAGCACATTCTTATTTTAAAAAATCTGTCCAAAGGGGACTGACAAAATTTTCTACTCAAATCAAAATCACAGTTTGAGTCTAATCTTGTGAGCCAAAGTCTGGTCATATCTGTAGTATAATTATCCTATGACGAATAACACATGCCACTTGACACCAATTTTACTAAAAACAGAAGACAAATTTGCTTGTTTTTTTTTTGCCTCATCTTCACAGTAGTTTATAACACACCTTTCATGATTAAGATTATACATTCTGAACACATACACTTTTAAAATTGTACACAAAATTTTAAACTACCTAAAGTGGACGTGCATTGTGATTACAAATGGTAGAAACTGTAATTGCTACATCACATGTAGTAAAATGCTTGTGTTTCTCAGGTACGAAAACCATCAAAAACAAACAAAAAACACTGCATGTATTTCTTAATACAACACACAGACTTTTCTATGGCATAAAATATTTAAGAGTCCTGTCACCTTAGTATTTAATTACTAACAACAATCAAACCATTTATAATAAGATTAGAACTACCAACCCAAGAACTAGGTTCACAGTTCTGAAAACGTAGTTCACCTCATTATTAACTTGTGGAACTAGCACATACAGCAAGCATATTTGTTTTAATTGTCATATCTGAAATGTGCATACTGCACATTTTTTTAATTAACAAAAAAAAGAGAAGAAAATGGAATTGTAGTAGTTATTGTTATATTTTTAAAATTCTTAGTGATGTTGTAAGGCAAGTACAGTTTTATTTTTAGTCTAATACATTCTAGGATTATAGAGCTTTTAACAATGATGTATTTAGTGAGTTGACTTGTTCAAGTGTTGCAGTTGTAACAGTATGAATGCAAATAAATATGAATATGAATATGAATATGCATGTAACTTACATATTACAAACACTACATTAGGAACTACTGGTGCACCCAAAAAATTGTCCTCTCTCCTCAACACTGTCAGATTACATTCGCCCTACTGAATCGCATAACATCTTTGTGATAGAATTTTATTTTTTACGTTGCTGCAGCTGACATATATTTGTACCAATTCTCTTTACTGTTACTACAAACTGATATCTACATACTTCCAAAATACATTAGATATTTCGGCATAGCAATGCTTATGTCGGGCTAACAAAAAAAAAGTAATAAATGTACAAATTAAGCGGCTTAATGTAAAATGTTCCGACATCTCAGAACCTCGTTTACATAAACTCCTAACCTCTACGTTAATATAAAGTATTATACTTATAGTCGAGCCAGGAACCCCAAAATATATGAACCTCGGCCCACGTTTTCTACGAAATTGTATACGCTACGCTCTGTTTCTAATTAGGCCTCACAGAGACCTGGATTCCATTTCCAGGTTACAGGCAGGTGAAAGACAGCTATAGGATAAGCCTGAAACGGGACTTTGAACTCGAATTCCCAATACATTATTATATAATACGACAAATAACTATGTATTAGAATACTGCATATTAATACTTACATATCCCCACGTACAAACAAAGTTTCAGTTCATTCATTTACGAACATTTTTCAAACAAAACTATGTTAAAATTCATGACCGCATTAATTTCAGTGACCTACCGGAAGTAGGAAGTGTTACAGGTTGTAAATTTCCGTTCTGTTTCTTACTACGGCCTATACGATACCTAAGTACAAGAGTATCAAATCTGCCATGATATATTTTAAATGTATATACAACAAACATAAATATGTCCTATACATGTTGCATCTAATGTGTCTAAAATATGCGAGAGAAAGTTTAGAAATTTTACTTCAGCTTTAGGTGAACACAGATTTTATGCTCAGTCGTTACGTATTCTTCCACACCGAACAGTTGGTGAACCTGCAACGTGTTTGTAAACAACATAGTAATGTCAGCTGTCCTTCGGTACTTGGACGGTACCAACGAACGAAATTGCATAATTTAATAATGCCATTAAATGTTTCACGGGAGGAAGTCTTCACGTCATATGAACACGAAGTCCAGAAACTTCGTCGTCTAGGAAAAGAATTGAGACTCACAGATATTGACATAGATGAAATCATTCATCATTCTTTCCACTTGTTACAGGGTCACCACATGAAGACTGAAAATGTGAAGTCTTCCAGTGATAAAATTCCAACAAAGTCAGTGCGTTCCATTTATTCTTTTCAGCTTATCGTAAAAATAATAGTTATTGTGTTTCTGACTTTAATAGTTGCTTGTTTTTTTATTACTTATCATAAGCCTACATATAACCTGGTTGTCAGGAATGTTCAAGAATTAATATACCCTATCATGAAATGCTTAAGAAGAATAACGCTGCCAGTTGTTAGAGCTTTACCATCGGTTACAGGTAAGTTTATTGCTTAAACTTATACGATATCACAGTAAGCTAGAAATTATGGAAGAAGAGTTGCCAAAAACAGAGAAATGGCAACTTGCAAAACTTGGGTGAATTTTTACCATGAGAAAGAACAAATTTTGACATAGATACTGCCTTCAGCTGTGCTACTAGTTCTATAAAGAAGCAGTAATATTATAGACTGCTGCAGGAACTATTCCTTGATTTGCTAGCTTCCTGTAACATATGAGGATTAAACACATTACTAATTGTTTACTAGTAAATTTGAAACATTAATATATAACAGAGTAGTGAATTTCTTAAATAAATATAAACATAACAGGATATCGTGTAGAGAATTTTTTGGTGAATTTAAAATTTTAACCTTAACTTCATTGTATATCTTTGAGACGTTGTGTTTTTTAAGGAAAAATAGGATATATAACATCTCGTATTCAGATGTGCATGGTTATAACACAGTACATAAGCAGAATTTGTATGTCCAACCATGTAACACCTCACGTTGTAAAAGGAGTGTGATTAACATGGGAATAAGATTGTATAATAACTTGCCCTCTCAAATAAGAAGTATTCAAGAGTTCAAGGTTTTTAAGTGTCAATTAAAGGATTACTTGTTGTGCAAAGCTTTTTATTCCCTTCAAGAATATTTTTACAAGAATTAGCTTAATAATAGAACAAAGATACTTAGGTAATTTATTTTAGCTATTGCATGTAATTTATAGTTTAGCTTTTGTTGCCTTATTATACTCATCCACTGTTTTATCATATTTAAAGGACTTATTATGTTATTTTTCTATGGTTTTTTATATTATTAGTCATTTGATGTGATGTTTAATCTCATATATTTTTTTAAAAACTGACTTGTCCAATTGTACATAATGTAACAGTTATGGATGTTAAATAAATCAATCAATCAATCAATCATGTAGAAATCACTTAACAGGATTTGCCATGTCAGCTTCTGCTAAACACTTGATTAGACAGGCTTGTATTTTGCTGTGTTAATAGTCCTGAATGAAAGAATGGCACAACATATGACTGGAACTACCACCAATGTGTCTCCCATGTATTCAGCACTAACTGACAAAGTGAAAAACCTAAGTGTCAGATGAAAAGCCTGTTCTGTAGTCCAGTATTGCTAGTTAACGGTGTAACAAACACATTATTTAGTTATTTATGTAGCAATAGGTGGACTGGGTTGATTAGAACATCATGTTAGAATTAGTAGCTGTGAATGAATGTCAAATTGACAGACAGTTATATTTGTATCTGTCACACTGAATTTCATTGATATTTGCCAGCACAAACTACTACTATCCATAGAGAATGATTTAAAAGCCCTGCAACCCTTAGTATTTATATTTATCCTTATCTATTGCTTTTAGACATTGTAGGAAACGTGATTATTTGCAATACACTGTGAATACTTTGGTTGCTTTCTTTCATATTTGTAGTGTGGTATGATGAAATGTGTCTCATTGAGAACCCTTATTTCCGAGCCACTGATTTGAACTGCTGGGCATGTGAAGGTGTCCGAAGTGTGCTTGATCTTTCAGAGATGCACAATCCAAGAGATTTTCAACCACACACAGGTTTTCCTTACATTGTTAAGGTAACGTTTCACTTCTGTCTCTGATGTTGGCTGTGTGTCTTGCTGTGTGTTGTCTTGCAGACAATACAGTGGTAATTTTGAAGTGATTTAATTGACTTGTTTTATCGTATATTTCTCTATTCAGGGTGCTACAGCAGAAGTCAGTTATGGTACACTGGAACAAATGTATGAAAGCAATAGGCATTTAATTGATAGAGATGCATATAGAATCTCGAGTACTGTTCCTGAGTGGAAGTCAGTAGCAGACCTGATGCAGTATAGTTTAGGAAAGAACCCAACTACAAACCAAGATGCTCATATTGAATGGTAAAGGGACTTTGAGTTGATTCTTCATGTAATTTGTTTTGGGGGTTTGCACTGGTTATATACAGCTGTCAACACAGATTAACACTCAGAATTACTGGGTTTTTGACCTTGTCCCTCATCTGGTATTCTGAAAGCTAGAGAACTACTACTACTACTACACAACATTTCGGAAACTTGATCTGTATCTGTCCTCAGGTGAGGGGGGAAACACCTAGTCAGTTGGGTCTCTTACAAAGAGCTAACCTTCATCACTGGATAATTCTGAGTGTTATACACCATAATCAAATTAAATTTGAAACTACAAACCTATACTCATCCAGAACTTTATTCTAAAAACATGTTTATTGGATATTTTCATGCTGTTTTAACCTCAAGACCCGAGCATATTATGCACTGCGAGTGTGCAGACTTTGCTAGTACACATCAGCTATTGACCAATATGCATACTGGCCAAAAAAAAAACACTGCTGATATCTAAAAGTAAGTTGTCCTTGTGCTTAACTAATTAAGCACTATGCCACAAAGGTGTATGGGGGGTGAATGTATAGATCCACGTTTTCTTGACATCAGCACTAGTTGGAGGCAAGTGGTCAGCTTCACGCCCCAGTCACTTTACCCGAGGTACCCATTGTATAGGAGGTTGGTTGGACCTCAGAGCCAGTCTGGATGACTTGGAGAAAAATAAGTTCTTAACACTACTGGAACTTGAACTCTGACCCCTTGGTTGTCCAGCCTATAGCTAGTCAGTATACTGAGTATGCTATCCCAGCTCCATGCTGCTGATACCTAACATAACGTAAAAGGCGGCAACACTTTCTGCATGCCGTGTGTAATGGTTATATCATTAAGGCTCAATGTTCTTGAAATAGACACTGACATTTCCTCCACACCAGATGTACTACCTTGATTGCAGAAGCCTTGTTTGTGAAAATAGGGTATGCTATGTGACACAGGTTAGCATCACAGAAGCCACCATCCATATCCAAATTCTGATACTTGGTAGAACATAATCTTAACATACAGGTGACAAGGATATTTTTCTTCTCTAATGGCAGTGTTAAATAATTGCTAAGTCAGACTACTGTTATTAGAGTAATTGGATCACGAGTGTTGCACTGGTTTCAGCATACAGCCCCCACAACAAAACAAGTGCACCAAAAATGAAAAGCTTGGAAAATACTGTAAGGATGAAGAATGGATTAGTGGACAGTGGCAACGTAGATTACGTCAGGAAAAATAAACTGTGGATTGAGTTAAGTTGGCACATTTTTGTTATGACGGTGCCAAAGCTTCAGATTCTGTTAAAAGCCCATGAAGCGTGTTAAACAGTGAACTCTCACCATGTATGATGAGAATTTTTGAGTTTCAGGAATGATGCTCAAAAATTCTCATCTGACATTACTTATCCCACAGACATTTGATTTTTCTTTGTCTTTAAAAATACCTACATTAGATTAAAATATTTCAAGGATTTAAAAATTGTTACAAAACTTCTCCAAAGATTTAATACATCTGTTGGCCCACAAATAAACTTTTTGAATTTCATACCCATCACAGTAGTTTATATTACCTGGTGAAATCATCGAAGCTTGTCGTTCGGTTAACTTATGCACTTGATGTAGAATTGTTAAACTCATAAACACAGTAGAAAAAAAAAATCAGATATTATTCTCTGGGGTTCTATAAGTACTTTTAATGGGGATAAACTGATGAGTTCTATGGATGAGGCATGGTTTGTTTGATCGATATTTTTGTTTGACTGTAGGAGAGTGAATAGATTGGAGCCAGCGAGATTACTGCGACAGCTATTTCCTCGTCCTTCGTTCATCCCCAATACTGTTAATATGGAGAGGTTCATATTGATAGATGAACCAAAAGCACCACAGTACAAATTGGTATGTTCAAAAATAGGGGATGCTGTATTAGAATATTTTAATTTAGGTATTCCAGCATCATCCAACTTACATAGTTGTATTTGATTTGTTTCATTCTGGTCTGTCACACTATCAGTATTACAAGTGATAAAACAATTCCGTCCAATGTGACTGTTGAAGCTTTTACTACTTCACTTCTTAGCACCCTAACATGTTTCGGTCCCTAGAGACCATCATCGGAGGGGACATCAATACTTTTAGAAACTACTATTACATTGGGTGTTTTGATTTAAAAAAAAAACATAAAAACTTTAATGCATCAAGGACAGCTGCTGTAGTTGTAGGAAATTTGGGTTTTATATAAAGTGTATATTACAAATATTGTATATTTATGTATTTTAAAAATCAAAACACCAAATGTAATAATAGTTTCTAAAAGTATTGATGTTCCCTCTGATGATGGTCTGTAAGGACTGAAACATGTTAGGGTGCTAAGAAGTGAAGTAGTAAAAGCTTCAACAGTCACACTGGACAGAATTGTTTTATCATTTGTTACATAGTTGTGTTTGCAAGTATGTTCATGTAATTATGAAAGAAATTCAATTAAATTCATTCATGTCAATAATGTTAATGCAAAACTTGTGTAAGTCAGAATCAAATAATCTGGGGTATACCTGTACATGGTCCATCTTATTAAGATTTTACACCCATGCATTATGTTGTAATGGTTAGCAAGCCTGCTTCATGTTTGGAAGATACTGAGTTTGAATCTCAATTAGGAGCTGAAATGCCCTCACCAAGGTGGTGTTTCATGGTTTTCCTCAGTCCCCACAGGAAAATTCTGGGACTGTATCATAAAGTAACCCTTAACTGATTCATTCCAACTAATCTGTAATGAGAATATTCCGTTCAGTGCTATAAATTAATGCAGTTGAGGAAGCACTGTTAAACCAAAAACCGAGATTTTGTATTAAATGAAATACAGGTTCACTGTGAAAATATTTTAACATTTACATGACTATATTTTCATAACTGGTGTACAGTAACATACACACATTGAAAAGTATTAATACAGTAGGCCTGTGCAATGAAGGATTCCATTTTTTTTCATCATATTTGACCTGTTTGGTATGTGCATGTTTATATGTATGTTGCCAAAGTTGTCAGTTGTCAATTTTTCAAGTGAACAGTTATTTACTGAACTAGGTTACCCATTTTTGTGTCATTTTTAATGAAATCTTGTATTCAGGGAAGAAAGTCAATCCTCTGTATGTTAATGTCACATATAATTTTCAATGTTAAAGATTTTTTACCAACTCAAGTTCCTGTTTAGAAGTATTGCATATGTGTGGCATAGCATGCAGTCCACTTGTCTGTGCCCTAGTATCAACGGGGTTCTCTCTGAGTGGAATCAGTTCCCTTTACACCTTCTAGCACACTAAATAGTAAAAATTATTAACAAATTTTGCACTTCAATCAGATACAATTAAAACTTATTTAAACATAATTGTCGTCTATGAAGCCTTTTCCAGAAGGCTACAGGGTGTTCATAATGCAAGGAAGTGGGCAGCGTCTATTGATACTGGAGCCTGTAGAGGGTTGCAACATCAACTGTACCAGAGTGTCTGTCCTTTTGAAGCCATCTGATTTTTGTAAGTTCTTAGTTCTTTTAGAAACCTGTAATGTTTTGATTAGACGTGCAGATATTCTGCCTCACAAACATCAAATCTGTTACTTAACTGTCAGGTCTCCTAGCTTTATTATTAATTTACACCTTTAATTTTCAGTGTACTACAACAGTTGGTTCTATCGACCCAAGAGCACTCCCGTTGCAAACAGTACTACTATTAGTGTGAGTTACATTGGCTCCCTTTAAAGTAATGGCTGTGTTAAAACATGTAGCTTCCTTCCATAACGGAATTATATCTTTTTAAATGAATTTTGGTAATGTTTAGCTGTGTAAAATATTTAGTGCATATTGACGGTTGTGCAGCATTGAGGTAGAAAAGTTTTATCACCTTTACTTTGCTTATACCTACAGAGGGTACTGTTCAGCTGAAATCTCATATTAGCTTCCAGAATAAAAAGTAGAGTTGTAAGATTTGAGGCTTTCACGGCGGTGACTATGAAGAAAGCAGTCTTCTGGGATTTGGCACCGTGTATATGTGGTGTTAACCGACGTTTCGAAGGAACGTATCGCCTCCATCTTCAGGGTAGAAGAAAAAATAAGGAATCTGCAAGCGAAGAGACCGTGAGAACCGGTAAAAGCAGACTGTGTCTGTGTCACACAGTCTGCTTTTACCGGTTCTCACGGTCTCTTCGCTTGCAGATTCCTTATTTTTTCTTCTACCCTGAAGATGGAGGCGATACGTTCCTTCGAAACGTCGGTTAACACCACATATACACGGTGCCAAATCCCAGAAGACTGCTTTCTTCAAAAGTAGAATTCTTAGGTTTATTCATTTTGTTTGGTCTGATCAACAGACCTGTATGTTTGTTGAAGCTTTTAATTGGCTTGATATAATGAAAGCGCCATTCAGTGTCATGTTTTTTTTAATTTATTTGTTAGGTTCCTCATTAGGAATACTGATCCTTAGAGGAGGGTATGTAACAGAGGAATAAATAAAGTATAGATTCACTTCTTTATCAGGGCACTGACAAAAATTAGTTCTCTGTAAATGAAATTTCTAATTTACTATGATTAACCTGACATTAATTTACATAATTTAACATATCAATAATATTATTATATGGAATGAATTTAAATTCTTCCTGTAATAACCAGTGATTATATTCCAATGTTCTGCCATTTGCAATGACCTGTACAATAATGCAAATGGAATCTCTGAAGAATTTCCATTAGCCAGAATGTTGTTGCTGGACAATTCATTCTGGGCCTCATCATGGATGGAAAGTAGATTTTATACTATAGATACAAAAGCCATCAAAGCAAATATGGTTTACACCTTTAAATCGAAATAGGTCTATTTTGCCGATTTTAAATATATGTGTATAATTTTATTTCACTTTCATATTTTACAAGGATATTCATAATTTTCTTGGTGCAAGTACTTTTTGTACAGTTTGGTCCATCTTTATTGTCATTTTTGTGTAATGTTCTTCCAGCAACCATGATCAGGGCTCAGCAAATATGCTGGCAGGTAGAACATTATTTTATTCTGTATATGTTTAAAATACAAATTTTGTATTTTCTGTTCATAATTCTGGAAAGCGAAACTTCTGTGGGACTGGTGAATAATCTAACTTATGTTTACCCCTGTCTGTGACAACTAAACAGGATTTTCACGTGATGGCCTACTTTCATTTGAAAAATAAGTATTTTACCAAAGTCAGAGATTTGTACAATATTTTCCAATAAGGTTTTAGGATTTCATTATGTTATTTTGTATAGTTTGTAATTTTGTATGAACTTCAGTTTAGCTGTCTGCTATAAGGTAAACTGTAAGAGGTGTTTAGTACATTTCAATTATGTGCAAGTAAAATGTGAAATTTTCAGTGTGAAGAATAAAAGTGCACTGTTCTTGAAGTGCTGGTGAATGGCCTATATACTATTCATAGTCACTGTTTTACATATCTCAAAGGTAGAGGCAAATAGGCAGAGTATCAAATAAAAAAAGACTTGGGTGTACAGTATGATGAACTGAATAAATTTTTCCTTTAATTGTATGTTTAGATATTAATTTAAACTGTGATGAGCTGAGTAAATTGCTTAAAATGATTGTAATTATATTTTTTATGAATAAACAGTCTTCTTAATTAATTTTGTCTGTTTTTTATTGATCCATCCTGTAGAACTGTCTAGTTCCATGGCCATGGGAGAAATTAGCAAATGGAAGGTCAAGTTTAATTTCAGTCTGGTGTATCTTCCACAAACAGTCCTGAATTAAGGTCTGCAAACTGATGTCATTTATTCACAATGTGCATTTAGTTTAGATATTTCCATTTAATTGGGGGCACACGGTAGCATAGTTGGTTGAGGGGCTATGCTACAAGCCGGAAGGTCAAGTTTAATTTCAGTCTGGTGTATCTTCCACAAACAGTCCTGAATTAAGGTCTGCAAACTGATGTCATTTATTCACAATGTGCA